GCTGAACCGATTCAACCTCCCAAGCCCCACAACAGTCAGTGTTTGTGTGTGTTTTATTTTTATATTTGGTACTTTTCACAATGAATGTAAGAGCGTACATGTCATTGCAGAATAACTTTCAAGAAAGAAAAAATGCCAACATAAAGGACTCCTTATCAAGGCCTACATCAATCAAAATGCCAACATAAAGGACTCCTTATCAAGGCCTACTTCAATCATCCCCACTCTGCCACTTTAAACATTAGCTTCCCCGAGAGTTAGTGTACTCTTTATTAATTTTATCATCTTATTAATGCATGGTTAGAAGTCTTAGCATAGCTAACATGATCTCTTACATTTTTGTGGTTCATCGCTAGTTAAATCAAAAGCTATGAAGCACATCCACCAATAAAATAATTATCATCACTTGAGCAACTTTTTTAAAGAACTTACAATTAATTATTTGTCTCACTATGTAAATAGCATTAGTTATGATCTCAAATATCTACACATACTTCTATTATATAGATGTTAGACCTCTTTTTAACCTTGCAACATTTTTGTATTGGAGAAAGTTTCCAATGGAACTATTATTTTGTTGTTAGGCTCAACATCATGAGCTTACCAGTCCATTATCAACTAAGTGAAGACCTTCATATCACCACTTCTGACGGTCTTTCCCACAGAATGTACATAAAATTTTATTTTAAAATTCATTGCATCTACATATAATTCAAAGAAAATGTTTGCTCACATCAGATTTATGCATCTATATTGTTAATATTAAATTTCTCAAGTAAAATGAAGCTGAAATCCTAAAGATCGAGATGTCTTTTGGTGTATTAGTTGGAGTTTCATCAGAAAATCTAAAATTAAGCATGCGAATATGGGTGCACTCCTACAATTGGTGACCTCCTGGGAACTTACACCAAAGGGACAAAACCATGAGGCCATTAATCCAAAGAGGACAATATCTCACTAGGTGAGAGTTTGAGTTGTTACAATTATGGTAGGTCTTTATATTTTGGCAAGATATTTGCTGTTTTTTTTTTTTGACAAGTTATTTTTTTAATCAAAATTTTCAATTAAGTAATCTATTTGATACCAGAATTAAACTAAACCATAATAAGAAAAATAAATATTATTAGCAAAAGCAATTAGACGATTACAATCAAACACGCTTGAAAAAGAAATTACAACGAACACGATAGACTCAAAGTAGGGCTCGATTCATGGGACGTGGAGGTTGGCTAGATGGTCAGGAAGCAGTAGGTGGCTGAAATGGATTGGGGGTTGCTAAGACAGCAAAAGGAAGGGGCTCGAATTGCATTGGCAACGAAGCAAAGCCTGAGACAACGAGGGTAACAGGTGGGGTGGCAAGTAGAGCAGCGAGGCACAGTGGGAAAGGCTAGAACAACCATGAGACAACTATAAAACAAAAAGTTTGTTGTTTTGCGGCTGATGACCACAAAAAGGTGAAGTGGGGGACAACAGGACACCCAGGGGTGACTATTTGGGGCAGTGGCAATGAGCAAGAAGCGCTGGAATGGGAAAAAAATGCAATGAAAAACAACAAACAAGTGTTGTTTGGGGGGGCTACAGTGATGGAGGATGGTGGGGACTATCAAGAGGAAGATACAAAAGGGAATAATGGAAGATAATTACCACCTCATAATAGAGATATAGTCATAGCATCGCCCAATGCCTCGAATATAACCCTTGAAGGAAACAGACACCGACAATTGTCCTAAACAAACTCATGCAAAAAACTGACTTAAAACACATATAACTCCT